CTCTTCTCTCTCTCTCTCTCTCTCTCTCTATATATATATATATATATATATATATATATATATATCAAACACATTTCGTAATGCAAATATTACTCTCTCCCTCTCTCTCATTATCATAGTGTCCTTGAAGAACAATCTGATATGTTTGATTCATTTTCTGTTTACAATCACAATTAGTTAATAATACCATGTGCAACCTTTTGATGGTCCATCACTCACTCATTACCATGGGTTATGATTGTTGGACATGATACACGAACACAGGATACGACAAGGAGCCCTCCTGAACGGTATACAAGCTGCAGGCTATGCATGCTCTCATGGGCTGAGGAGCTGAGCCCAAATTGACAAGATGCATGCCTTCACTTACAGTATCACAGTCATAAGGAAATGTGATGCAGTTTGGGAATATACTTAAAACAGTCGTAAGATCAGCTACAGAAAGAAATTATTGAATGGTTAAATTCACCGTCTTACCTCCTCCTTGATGCTTCGATAGGGTTTGATGTAGTCATTGACATACTGTCTAAGCCATGGCTGTCACTTTTTCTAGATACTGCAATCTTTCCACATAGCAATTTGTGAAAACCCAAAGCTAGAACATTTACCACTGGCCTGCAAATATTGAACGAGATACAATCATATAGCAGTAACAGAAACCCATATCACATGCTTTTAAGAATCTGCAACAAAAAAAAAAACTGCTGGCACAAATTTTTCTATTAATTTATTTTATCTGTTATAATAATAGCAAGAAATGTATCCCTGGGGAAGCTCAAACAGATGGATGCTTAAAAATAGTAAAGTGAAATAAGCAGAAATTTAAACCCAGAAATCCATCAAGAACTGGCAAATACTACCTCAAAAAGTCCGGAAAAAATGTGGCAAAAGCAAATTCATCATCTGGATCACCAATTAAATTGGTTTCTGGGTTCCTTTGAAAATAACGTAGGTAAAACCAACCTCCGTAAGTTCCAAAAATCACAAATGGAACGAACCGCATTGCTTCTACTGTGAAGAAGCTTAAAACAATAGTCATCAAGACCAGGATTGATGGTAGCCACTGATTACAAATTGGAAGGCAATGAAATCATGAAAGAAGAAGTTAGTACTACTTCAAATTTAAAGGAACAAATGTAGTTCGTAAAAAAGATTTACCTCAGCACGCAAACTGAATCTACCAAAACCCACAACCTCCTCGTCAGGCATGTTTTGTTTTACTCCGACCAAGAATCCCGATAGAACTCCATGAAATCCAGATAGAGGCATGTATCTGTAACCAAAAGAAAAAATACAATACAAATTAAAATTAAAAAGTTTTAGAACACATAGCCATTGGATTCGAACTGCAGAAAAAAATGAGACAAGCAACCATATAAGTAATACAACCCTTCTACGGAAAAGCTACAATAACGAAGTTTGACTTCCAAAGCATGGAACATAAAATGGAAAAGCAGTCTAATCTCAGTGAAGGCCAAGAAGCTATCAGGAATCAATCAATTTACTGACTTTGAAGCAATAATTTACTTAACTTTCATGCACAAACCACATCAAAGCTAAATTACCATTGTGAACTATTTTTCAATTTTTTGCTTCGTTGTTATAGCTTTTTATGCAAGTATGGCTACAGTACAAGGGCTTACCCGCAAGTCTCATCCTAGCACTGTTCTTTCACAACAAAAATAGTTTTAGATTTTTTTGGGGGGAAAAAAAGAAAATAAAAGAAAAAACTTTTGGGGTTATTGTGGGAATCGGTCCACTAGTGCTTGTTAACTCTTGAAAATCCCAAATTACATATATGACATCCATTATGTTAATAGTGCCAGAAATAGACTTAATATCCCCTACAGATAATCACTGTTCATCCCTGTTGCATCAATTGGAAGTACCACCAACTACTCATCGACTTATGGGCCTGTGCCCTTGAATCATGGCAAAAGCCAGGATAGCTAACATCCACTTTGAAATAGGTTCACTAGTTCAATTTGGTGTTAAAAATTTTTTGGTTAGATAGCAAGCATGCCTACCTTTGAAGATTTCACACAGAATTTATGAAAGAAGCACAACAGGGGTGTTGCATGGCAAGTGCAGTTGTTTTTTTTTATAAAGAACATGGCAAATGCAGTTAGAATGATTAGGAGGAAAGCCCTAGGTCCCAGAAAAGTATAAGAGATCTCATGTCACATAGGTTGCATTACCATTATAACTAGTTGTTGTAGTTGACAAAAACTAGGTCAATGAAATGTAAAGATATGTTATAGGATGAGAAGGGAAGGTGATTTTTCTCATCCACAGGGGCCCTTTCTGTGATGGTTCTTTGCTTGATGAGATATTGGTTCTTCATGAGGTATGAGGCAGAGGAAATATAAGGCCCACAGTGAGGGGCTATCGGTGGATGAATCTCTTAAATCGTAATTGAATAAGAGAGGAAGCAAGCAGTATGACTTCAAGCCCATAGCTCAATGGGATGGTGCTCATCTCACAATCTTGAGGTTATTCTTTGAACCCAGCAGACCCTTATTTGTTGCCTTATGGTGATTTCTATGTGTTCCATAACCATAAATCATCTCTAAACTGATCCCCCTCCAACCCCAAAGCATGTTTTCTAGCTGTTTCTGCGGTACCCAATAGAATACCTGTTAAAACAAAAATGGAAACAACTTGCAGCCTAATAGAACTTTTTTGGAGAGAACACTGCAAGCAATGGTTACACCTTACAAGAATTCTTAGATAGATAGATAAGAGAACATTTATAAGGTCGTCACATATTTTGTCCAAAGAGCATACCAATGGTTGATTCATTGACAACCTCATCTCACATTTTTCTGCTTATTACGATTATTACATAAATATTGCTTGCCAAGACAAAAGGGTTATTAGTAAAAGAATTCAAACTTCAAAAACATGAATTATTATAAGAAACACCAATTTATTGACAATTAAATAATTCAACTAACCTTCTTCGACAACAATTACTAAAAATCTATTTGGAAGAATGAGATTACTTACAGATATGTTTCTCTCTTTGTTGCGACATAAGAAATAATTGCAGTCAGAAATACCCCAAGTAAGGTGAAGAAGTTCACAAAGACAATGAACTTCAAGAACTCTCGAGTGCCCCATATCGGCTCTAATAGCTTCCCACCCAGTAGAAGACCAATTATGGTCAAAATCAACTGCCATGGAATTAACAAGAGAAGCGTGGCTAACAAAGTTAGTTTGAAGTTTTACTGTAACAAATATAAACAAGGGCCTAGCTCTAGTCTCTATACATGTACAAAATGGAATTATTTGAATGAACTAAAAAATAGAAACCTAATTCACTATTCAAGTTCAAAATTTGGAAAAAAAAAAAAGAACACCTAGAAAACTAGAGAGGAAAAAAACAGCATGTGACAAGCCATTCAGATAGCAACTACCTAGGATATCTACGAAAGCTTATACACAAGGGGTCAATCCTTTCTTATTTTGGGAAGAAAACACTAGGCTTGATCCTTCAGATGAAAAGATTATAGTTAGAAATCAATCGAAGTTTGATGATTCTAATTATCCTCAAAGATTTTCATTGCTTTTCTGCAGTGCAGTATGGTCACATTAGCTATTGTACATAGAACAAATCTCAACAACAAAGGATGAAGGCTCAAAGTAAGTGCAACGAACAAATTTTTTTATTTGGTATCCAATTTTACTGAGTGATATAAATATGCTTATGAGATATTTGTCCAAAGTACTTGCTTATCCTCTTTATAGATCCACCAAAAGGAGAAAGCGCCACAAAAGGAGCACCAAAAATTACTACAAAGCATCCTAGGTGCCAATTCAATTTTGATGTAAGACAGATTTTGTAACTACCGACTAAAGTTGGAAAAATAAGCAATTAAACCAAAGAACACGGCATACTTCAACAGACTGCATATGCTATACTATTCAACCATCATATGGAAAGTTAAAACTTTAGCTTATTCTTCACAAACTCCTACACAAAGCTAATACAAATCATTCCAGGAGACCTCATCAGGCATTTTTTGACTCAAGGAAGAGTCTCCTAATTGGAGAAATGGAGTATCCTATCATCCTAATAACATATCAGACTTGGAAAGTCTCCAGCTGTCTGGTAGGGTCTCACTTTACCTCTTTTCCCCAAGGCTAGAGTTTCTCATATCTTGTTTCCTCTAGAGATTCCCACAGTCTAATAATTGTGTGGGGTATATTCTAGCTCATAACAAACTTCCCTGTGTCCTTTTCCACATCGCCCCTATATCTGTTTCTTAGGCTAGCCATCGTGGATACAACTATGTTTATGAGGTCCTGAGACTAGACTAGTTTCCATCTTTTCCATGAGTTATAACATCAGGATAACCTTAAAATATAATAATACATATATTACAACAGCGCTTAATCTCATTGCCCAACTTCTATGCTTAGACTAATCCTCAGTAACTGAAATGATGGTAAGATAACTCTAGGACAAACAGCAAGATAACAAGACACAATTTGAAGTTCACAAGTCTGAAAATTCAGATAGTAGCATTTGGCCTCGTTATTCCCACAGCTAGGAAAAGCATGGTATACAAAATCAGGGGCATACTGATGATTATGTCTTGCAATGTTTTTGGCTCACTGTGGACCTCAGACTAAGCCCTGGCCCGAGGTGAATAACTCAGCTGAGTTCAAATGAACTTGGCCAAGTAGTGTATACGGCCCAAAAGGCTCTAAAAAGTTTAAAAAATAAATAAATAAATAAATAAAATAAAATAAAATAAAATAGAAATAGAAAATTAGCATAATTGAAACAAAACCAAAGGACAATAATAAAAGTAACAAATAGATAGTATATATATATATATATATATATATATTAGGAGAAATCTTAGAAAAATCTAGAAAAAGATAAACATATAAAAATAAGGATATGAAAGTAAAACTCACAAATCATTGCAGAAAACATCCAAAGTACATACATAATTTTTTACATAGATTCCAGATTTTTACATTTTTCTTTTTGTAAGTTTTTGCTTTTAATTTTCTTAGGTTGCCAGAGTTGCACCCAAGTACTCGTGACTCAGCAAGGAGCCAAGTCCGAGTAACTCAGCCAAATCTGAGTGGACTCAGCCGAGTTTTGAATCATTGATGTCTTGTATTTGTTCTGTCCATATATTATATACATTGCGTATGCATTTTAAAGGTATCTACATGATTCTGTCCATGTCAACTCTCTATGTAAGGATTCATCCTCTTTCTTAGTTCATAAAATACAGTTCTCATATGTTCTAATAATGTAGCAAAGCAACCTTAACATTAAAAACCATTTGTTTGGATCTCTTAAGTTGTCAATCCACAAGACTCCATGATTCAGTTTTCGGCATTCTGACCAATGAGTTTTACCAAGCATCATATCCATAGAGATGTCGTTCCAAGGCATTATGTTTCTAATAAACTATCACAAGTCAGATTTAGGCATATGCACATTAATGAGTTTTACTAACGATCATACCAATAAAGATGTCATTCCAAGGTAATATGTTAAGAATAAACTTGGTTTCGGACTGATCATGAAATAACTCATCCACTCAAAATTAGATATGCTATATCAATAGTCACTCTATAATTTGCGGCAAGCACACATAGAATGGTCATGGGTGTGCCTACAAATATCTTTAGGATAGGCTTTCACACCGCTTTCACACTATTCCCCATATATCTGTAGAAGTAAAAAAGGTATTTTATCCATACACCAAATAAGGGTGCTCTAAATTATTGAGTACAGCCTGATTAAAAGGCTTTATTTAACCAGAAGGGCATCTCTCTCCATTTAATTTTATTTGAGTAGTAATTAAGTTACATTTTTGTACAATTTCATCCTCTGCCCAATTTTATTTTTGTAGTAATTTTTCTTTTCCCTTTCCGTTTTTCTTTGAGGTAATGAAATTTAATTCTGTAGCCATCCTCTTCTTTTTTCCACCTTTTAATGGGATTATTATTCTCCTTTTAAAATTGTATACTGATATGGCTTTTATTACCATAGAATTCTTGTTTTGCTATATTATTTTTGATAATTAACTGCATGTTCATTGATCAAAAAATTTACATGTGTAATTTCTTTAAACGAATGTAATTCATCCAGTGGATGAAATCTGCAATTAAAAAGTGTAACTACCAAAAACATGTGACTACATAAGTGGTTCAGTAATATCCTCCCTGGAACTTATTGCGTACCTTCGTATATAAATAAAAGATATTCTGATCCTACTAAAGATGTAAAAGATTTCCTCAAAAGTATTCGCAAATCTCCAAGGATATTCCACCTTTTTACTGTCCCATTGATTACATTCTCTGTGCCCCCTTTCACTGCTATTGAACTCTAGCCTGGCTCTCAAACCAACCAGGAGAGCTCTTGCTTCTGCAGGCCCAAATTTCCTATTGAGGTTCCATTGAAGTCTTCCAACTAGCATAGCTTGATGAGTGAGGCACAAATCTCATGGAGATGGAAAGCCAGTGATTCCAAAAATCCGAAATACCCCAGATTTATTTTCTTAACCTTCCCCAAGAAATATTGGTCACATTCATTTTATGTATCAGACATTCAATTAAGTGCTCCTCTGATTTGAAAAGCCTATCCTTCCTTTCCATCCTAATGGACCATAAAATTGGAACCAAAGTTATTCTCCATAGGATGATCCCAGATTTGGGCAGAGTATGCCATTGCATAAATAAATCTCCAATTGTTTCAGGTCAAACCCCATTGAATTGCAGAGAGAATTAAAACACTAGGCCTTTCCTTTTACTTTTTCAAGACAGTGATCATGGCTTTTGTTTCGTAGAATCTTTTCTTCTTCATCAATCCTATCGAAGAAGTGACCCAATGATGACACAGAAAACGTGAAATTAGTTTGTGAACTTCCTGAATAAGTTGTAAAAAAAAAAATCTTTTCTTGGTAATATTTGTACAAAAACCACCTGAAATTTCACTTATACTTCCTGAAATTTCTCGTGTTTTTAATTTAATCAAATGTAAAGAAAGGATGATGAGACCCGTAAAATCCAGAATACCCTTTTGATTTTATAAGGCGCATAGGTGTATTATCATCATGTCTATATGCTCTTTCAGTTGGGATATTCACGGTTCCGAAGTTTATTTCAGTTAAATTCTGCTCAGAATTGAAGCAAAAAAGAGAATTGTATCAAAAATGAAAGTGGAGAATTGGCGTCAAGTTGAACTCATCATATAAACATACAACACAAAATAGGAACACACAAATAGACATACATGTATAATGGCACCTGCCAAACAACTAAGTAATACTTTAATTTTAGACAGAGTAATGTTCTTGCGTTAGAATTAATTACGTTTTATCAGAATAACATTAAGAAACAAAGCAAGTTACCTACATAGCCATAAATGTCATCATTTGCATTGTCATCATTTGTTTGTCTGTTTCCTTTGTGGCTAAAATGATTTGCTGTAATTTTATTCTATATTTTTCATGTCATGATGTAGAAAGAGATGTAATGGATAGCCAGCTATGTTTCATATTGTTTGACCACAAAATCATAAATATCGATTAACAAGAGGGGAAAAAGAACTACTATCCATCAGTTATCTGTAGTAAAAAGCAACTATAATTCATTTTAACAAGTCTGGAAAGATCTACCCCAAATATTGACTGCTCAATGTACCCCGCAGTAATAACATTCCATGCAAATGGTATAGTCCTGCATATAACAAGAAAGCATGAGACCACAAAGCAAATGAAAAATGAAAAGGCAAACACCAGGAGATAGGGAGAGAGGAGGGGGGTGAGAGAGGAAAAAGAAGAAGCATATGAGAAGAATCAAAGATGGGCTCTAGATTACTGTAGTAGAACAGACATTAATCTGTTTACAAGAACAGCTTTTAAAGGGGTAGATTTTAGTTGTTACTTTTCAAACTAAAAAACAGAACAGCTTTTAATTGTGGCTGCTACAACAAGGAAATGGAAGAGTTTCTCTTGGATATCTCTCCACATAAAACTCATCATCTAGCGGGCATAGATTCCAGAACAACAATCAAACAAAATTTCACCAACAAAAAATCATCAGCAAATAGCTGAACTGAGGAGGACATTCTCCTTCCCAGTTCTTGAATCAAATGAACATTTCAGAGACCTCAACATTCTTGAGTGAGATAATCATGTAACTATCAACAATAGTCTACAAACTATCAAGCCAAAACCACTCGCTCTCATCTGTAAAGACAAACGGCTCTGAGTTTTAATATACTAGACAAATGGAATGTTTATTGGATCCATAGTATTCATGCCAAGCTCTGCTAGTCTAAAGAGGATTATAAAGGCAAAGGAATGTAGAGATAAGGAAACTACAGACCCTGCAGCCACTTTTACAAGTAACTTTTGAAAGGATAACCAGTACTCGGATTTCAGATAGTTACAAAACCTGATGTAGCATGCTAACAGATACATAACGTACATTCTTGCTGAGGGGTGGATACCAAGTAGAATTATTGGTATCGTTGAGCTTACTTGAGAGGCACAAGTGACATCAATTTTGTAACCGTTGAAACGATAGCATGTAAAGATAGGAATTATGACTAATCTCAACCTTGAAGAACTCATGCATTAATAAAGTAACACAACTGCATGACTTGCAAACACAGAAATATCATCTCACAAGATCAAAGCATTCTCCGAATTTCTCTTTCCAAAACAAGCTTTACGAACTCTAAACAGCACAGAAACTTTCTCTTTCTTTTTTCAACAAAATGCAAACACAACAAATTTCTGCTTCACAAACTAGAAATGAACTTCATTTGACACGATAAAAAAAACTAAAGCCCAAACAACCAGTAGAAAACAAAACAATATCATCTTGGACCATACCACACGGGGTAATATAAAACTATTGGGATATTTGGCACATATAAGCTTATCAGAACTAATTAACCTAAATGTATTCCCTGTTTAAGGAACAATCAGAAGGGAGCTAAGTCACCCAATGTCATCACTCCATTTATCATTTGGGCCTATGGTGTTAGCTTTAGGAATCAGGATTTATTATCCAAGTTTTGTATTGTAAATACAAAATAGCACTTAATCAGAAGCAAAGACAAATAGGCTGGAAATTTTGAGTTCAGTAAAAATAGTTTAGGTGTAAGATAACAGTGTGCGCCGTGGACATCCTGATCCTATGGTTTTTCTTTTTTCCCTCCTGTGTTGATTAACCATGTCCATGTTTAGACACCACAGGTTTTCACTTATATATATAGTTGGTCTTCATATAGAATTATTGTGTTTTCATATCATGTATTTCTCATATTATTGACTAATTCCACAATTATATGTAACTAATCTTTCAATAAAAACAATCAATCACTTGGATTTCAAAAATAAGAATGAGCATAGGCCTAGAGGATCCATCTCAACTTGCAGGCAATTTCTGGAATACATAAGAATTTAGTTCACAAAATAAATTTGATCAGCAGTTTAACAGCAGAAGCAGGAAATTTCAGGTCCTGATCGACAACACAGGTTTAGTATAAACAACAAATGCCCAAGATTAAGTCCCAATTACATTCTAAATTCCATGCATAATGTATTGTACTACGATGTAAACCTTTACTAGGAAAATGATTCAGATATCAGGTAATACTTACTTTCCTGGAATCAATGTGACATAGCCAAGTATCCAAGGAAATAGTTGTGAAACAACATATCCAATGCATATGATAGCAGCCAGCCCTTTGGATAGCCTCGTATACCCTGTTAAACCACCCTGACATGAGAAAAAAATTCAAGCACATCAGGCCCTAGTGCTATGGTAATGATTACCCCAAAAAAAGGGAAGAAATTTGAAATATGATCAATAACAACTAACAGGGACCCCGATTTTGGAATTTATTTGAAATAGCCAATACCAAACTCGAACAAAAGAATAAACAGGAGTCCGAATCAAAATGGAACGCAAAAACAGTAGCATAAATAAAAAATGTTGTCCATTTAGATTTCTACAATTTAGAACAAAAATTAAACAACAAATAAGGAACATCCAAGCTGAAATATGCAAACTATATTTTTTGGTATGAGGAAATTTTTACACTACTAATTAGCTTGTATTAACATACAATATGCAATCATTTCTTAAGAGGTGCACTTGTCTAGTTATCTTATTTTACATATTTTACCTCCTTTTCAATAGCGAGTAAATTAGCTATTGTACTTTTGCCAAGTAAAAGAACTTTAGAGGAGTACAAGTGATGAAAACATTAACAAAAACTGTCTATGAGTATGACAAGATAAATGAAAATCCCAAAGCCCCCAATCTATCAGCCACCATATTGGCATCCCTTGATGCATGCATCACGTTTATAACAACAAAATTAGCCAATACATATTTGAATTTAGACTTCACAGAAAATCATTTTCAACCTCCACGGAGCCCAAGAGAAGCTTGTTAACCATTTGATCACACTTAGTGAATGGCCTGCAATCATGGTCAACCCTTCACCTATTTGGTGAGAACTTGCACTCCTCCTAGACATATATTTGCATAAGCCTAACTAACATCTCCATCACGAAGTGGTACTACATGGCACTTTAGGGTTGTTCCAGAGACATTTCATGTAATATTTGCCAAAACTGAAAGAGCCCCTTAGTAGAAGTGCCAAAAGTCGGTGTAACCGTTATCAACAATTCCAAGATGCTTCTGGTTTTCCAGTCTAACAACCTTCATTCTCCCATTCTGTTTATTGTTGTCATGGGGCGAATGGGCAGTCGGGCCTCTGTCTATTGTTGTCATCAGGGCCTTGACAATCATTTTCCCCACATTTTTTAATCTGTGGAAGATCTCTCCCCGTATATGTATGAACACAGGCACACTCTCTAGCATGTCAATATGCAGTCCTACTTTGTGTGTATGTATGTGTGTCTATCTCACTCATACCACGTACTTGCCTGTCTCTCCCTAATATGCAAATCTAAAAGCAAACTTATCTACTTAATGCACACGAGTTTGTGTGTGTGTATACATGAGAATAAGTAAATGTCGGATGTGGGTAAGCACATAAGAGAGACATTCACGTAAACTGGTGTGTCTACTACCACGCTGATGCTAGAAGAGAATGAGGAGGTTTGGGATTTTCAGCAGATTGGAGACAAACTCTGATGGTTCATGTAGGCAGGGACTGCAACATGGACAAGAGAATCATCGGCCAAAAGGGTGTGGTCTGATGCGAGCTCAGAGCAAGCCAGTCAAAGTGGTTAGTTGGCTCTAGCACCTTGGAGGGATATCTTGTCAAAAGCCATGGTTTGTTCTTTCTGCCTACCTCGTAAGGACTTCCTTGGGCTTCTGGACTGGTGTCACAAGACTTGCAGGTGTGTGCCACTCTTAGGAAGCTTCCAGCAGGTAGGGTTCTTATAGTATTCACTGATATTGCAGATGCTAAGAGAGTGTTCAAACAGAGGCATTGGAGATTTGATGGGTCTTTGACAACCCTTGAATGGTGGCCTCCTAGAACTAACCATTCCTAGATGAAGCTTCTAGAGGTCTGGTTGATAGTGGAGGGCATTCCCACAGATGCTTGGACTAAAGAGATTTTTATGATATTCGCGGAGGAATGTAGTAAGCTAATAGCAGTCGATTGGAGCCATGTCTGCAGGGGAATCTCAAGAGCAACTGAGGATCAATGTGCTTCAGCTACCAGATAAAGAAATTCCAAGTGAGCTTATCCTCAAGGTGGCTGAAGACAATTTCGAAGCGCTTATTCGCATTGAATCCTCTACCATGGCCAACAGAGTAGTTCAAGAGCCTTAGAGGGATTTGCAGAGGGAGAAAGAAGAAAGGCCCACTCATACCATCCCTGACTCGAAGAAGGCCCAGCAACCACCTAAATCTCAGCAGCAATGGACGTTAGTTTCCAGAAAGAGAAAGAAGCCCCATCCTTCACAGAGAGGTAACCGTTCTTTCTATTCCAATCAGGGTAAAAACCACCTATCAAGGGGAAGATTTGGAGGAGAAAGTCCATTGGTTCTGATAAAGGCAAAGAGGTTCAGAAAGGGGCATAAAGTTGTCATGTAAATTCAAATTCAAAATCTAAAGGTCCTCCATTGAGACCGCCAAGGCCTTCTCAACCCTTTGTTGCGTCGTCTATTCTTAAGGACACGTGGCAGAATCCTGTTAAGGCACGTGGCGAGAGTAGAGAGCAACCTGGTGCATCTGTCGGTGATGGGAGAAGTAGCAGATCGTTAGTGGGATCTAAGCCTGATCTAAGCCTACTCAGCAGCCAACATTGCAGCACTTCATCCAACCGACATGTGCCACATTCTCAACATGCAGACATAAGGGACGGCAAAGAGTACGGTATGTGTCTTTAATGTGAATGGGCATGAGTATGGCACATCCAACAGTGAGGATGAGGGTTGGGGATCGAAAACTGAAAGGCCAACGCAGCAGTTTTCATCTCCACCCTACATCTCATCGATGTCTGCGACAAGTACACAGATTGTAGATGAAGAGATGGCGGAGAGTACAAAGTGCACAGAGAAAGATAGAGGTAAATCTGCATTTGAGAATGGGGTTGGGGTTGTGGTGGTAGCACCACTTGTGCCCTAGCTATGGTCTCGATTTCTATTCTCACCTAACGCATTCCAAAACCTCTAACGATTTCAAAAACGGGTAGGGGCTCGTCACCCCCACTGAATTACCCAAAAATAAAAAAAGAGGTAAATCTGCATTTGATAGTTCGGGAAGCTTTCTTGCTTTTTTGAGTACCCTGTCAAGGTCTACGAAGAAGGTGATAAAACTGGTCAGGACCTCCAACGCTCAAAGAGAAGCACAACCGTATAACCTTGCTGGTTTGTCTTTCTTTGCGGTGCTTTGGTCCTTTCTGCTTCAGAACAGCAGCCGTTCTCAACCAGTGCTTCCCCTATGGAAAACCAGCGTATTACTATTGGCGAGCCCACAGACCAAAGATTTACATCCAGAACCCGCATAAAGTTTATGGCCTTCCTGCCAATGCTGCTTCCATGACCATGCGCCAATGGGAAAAAGGTTTCAACTAGGGAAATATTGCAATCACTCTTCCTAATATGCTGGTGCTGGAGGCTCAAATAGTTAAAGCTTTGTTCATTGCAAGATGCCAATAAAACCCTCCCCTCATCGTCATGGAGTCCTCTAACTCTTCTGCGGAAGATCCATTGCCTAGATCCCACAACTGGAAAAAAGACAAAACCCCTAGAAGGGATGCAGTGAGAGCAAAGGTTGGGGATATGTTGGCCGCCATGCATGTTACTTACAAAGGCTCTATTAAAGAAGAGGAGGAACCCCTGGCTGCCGAAGAAGTCGAAGTAGGGGCGCAACCGGATGTTCAAGAAGTGCAGATGGCCTAGGAGAATCCAAGGAGATGAGGTGCAGGCGCAAGACTCATCAGAGAGATGGAGATGCTATAGGCAGAGGTTCTGTTCGATCCTCTTAATGCTGGCTTGGCTGGGTCACCAAAGTGGGGAAGGATTTCCACTCCAAATGAGGCTTATTACCAAGAACATCAGAGGGTTAGGAGAGACAAGAAAGAGAAGGGCTCTAAGACCATTAGCCAGGGAGTTCAAGCCTCACATGGTGTTATTACAAGAGACAAAGTTGTCTTCCCCTACACCGGTTCTGGTTAAATACTTTTAGGGGCCGTTTGGACACCTGAAAATATATTGTCTGTGAAATATATTACTGGCGTAATACATTAATATGTAATACATTACCTGTAAATGGATTGTTACTATTTGGGTAGTATTTAGATGCAACCTAGGAAATACAGTGTTATTGTTTGGCTATGTCTGGAAGAAATAGAGGAAATGCATTACCAACATTTTACCAGCACGTGCCTATAAACTATCATTTCTTTCTTTTTTGTCACAAAATTCTACTAAAATGCAAAGTTATCATTTTCTTCTTTTTTGTCACAAAATTCCACTAAAATACTGAATTAAAATCATCACACTATTCCAAAAATATTTCTAATAATAACATTATCACCATTCCAAAAAGAATTTCTAATAATAACTTGTACCATTTTACAGTCATGACACTATTTCCTACTTATTTTAAGTGCCTTTGGCACTTATATGCAATCACACGTTTTCTAACATGACATTGGTTTCAACATGATAAGTCATTGGAAGAATATGATTGGAATAACATGATTTTATTATGATAAGCCTATTTTTATTTATTTATTATAGAAGTCTTTCAAATGTCTCTCTATATAATTTCAAATAAACAATAAATTTATGATACTAAATTCAAAATCTGTAAAGTACGAGTTAAAAAAGGGGAAGAAGTTTGATTAGTAAACTAGAAGGTTTAGTAATTCCAGTATAAAATTTTGAGGTATTGGAGGAGACTAAAGAGGTATGTTATTTCAATTGAGATTTTAATAATCTCTTATGAGGATTATGTTGTGTGAAATTTTTTATTATGATTGTGTTGCATAATTTATCATTAATTACTGATTTTTAGTTTTATTATTTTTGTTTTTATACGACACTGATGCCTTCAGATAAAGGGACGAGCTTAAACAGGGAGGGATCACATTATGTTGTGTGAAATTTTTTATTATGATTGTGTTGTGTAATTTATCATTGATTACTGATTTTTATTTTTATTATTTTTGTTTTTATATGACAGCTGATGCTTTCAGATAAGGGCCGAGCTTAAAAAGGGAGGGGTCACCTAGTTATTATGAAGAGTAGTTATTATGAAGAGAGAGGGCTTGGGCTTAGAAGATT